TTGAAGCAAATAAACCGGCTTCCTGAGAAGTTAATTGGTCTAAAGTGTCCTCCCAACTGATGTTCAATTCAGACAGAATGCAAAACAAGTGATGAAAATGTTTCAACTGGAGAAAACTTATTCAAACTTATTTCAAAGCTTCATAACGATCAGAGGAGAAATCAGCAGACAAATAAAGAAATGGATTTCTTGGTGAGTTTTGAGTGTTGTGTCTGTTGGTGCGTTAGTTGCTTGGGGATAAACAAGATGTGCAGATCGCTCGGGCGCACCGGCAGAAAACCACATCGCGGCTCTGACGGTGTGTGGTAGGGAACGAATGGAGCTGGTTTATGCAGTGAGAGGCTGATGAGGGAATGAGATGCAGGTGAGGAGGTGGGGGGAGGAAGAGGCCACACAGGGAAGCAGGAGCAGGTGTGTAGATGGTTGGGGGGAGCAAAAGGAGGCAAGATTGTTCCTTGTATCGCTGCCAATTCTCCCACCAATCATTGTGTTCATACTCTTACACAGAAACTGCCTTTGAGATTCTAGAAAGAAAAAAAGCACAAATTATAACTGTATGAAAGAAACACCATATAAACAACAGTGTTGCAAAATACTAAATTAAAAGAAGAATTTAAGAATAAAAGTGTATTTCTCAAAATGATTTTCTCCAAACACCTGAACACATTTTTGGGGTCACTGGTTGAGGGTTAGGGTTAGGAGAGCAGTATTTATGTTTCAGGTCAAGACACGTCTCCAGGAAATAAATGTAAAGTCCTTAAAAGTGACTCATAAGTAAACATGAATGTGTATGTGTGCAAATCCTCCGACAGGAAGTGTTTTGGGGTTTGTTTTTTTGGGAGCTGGTCCATCTGTTGCTTCCGAAGAGATTCTGGTCACAGCCTGTTCCCTGAACGGGATTAATAATCTGGTTAGAGTGTGTGTCTGTGTGTGTGTGTGTGTGTGTGTGTGTGTGGGTGTGTGTATGTGTGTGTTTGTGTTTGTGTGTGAGAGAGAGAGAGTTGGAAAGTGTGATGGTGTAGCGAGGAGATTGTGAGGGTTGGCAGCGAAAATGATAGCACGGCTGGCATGCAAGAGTGAGTGTGTGTGTGTGTGTGTGTGTGTGTGTCAGAGAGTGTTTGCTCCCTTTTATGTCTGTGTGTTTTGAGAGTGAGTTTGAACGCTGTGTGTGTGTGTGTGTGTGTGTGTGTGTGTGTGTGCGTGTGCGTGTGTGTGTGTGTGTCTGCCTTTGCAATTTTGGAACTTGTAACACGATCTGCGAGGGCAACAGGAAATTGCTGGAGTGGATGATGGGGAAGCAATGTGACATGAGACAGGTGGGCGGGGGGGCTGATGGAGGGATGGATGGTGGAGGGAGAAATTTGGGGGGGGTGGAGGCTGCTGTCAACACGCTGTCGCTGGAGGGTAAGAGGGACAGGAACCGTTAGCAGAGGATTAGCAGGCGCACCAAGTTTAGCCGGGCATCCTCTTGCCTTTATTTTCATGGCCAAGAACACCGGTGGGAGCGGGGGGGCAGCCACGCTCCACAGCGAGCCCACAGCTGGACGTCGTGTCCGAACTCAATCACAGAGCGGATGTGGCGTTTTCAACACCGCAAAGTGTTACTTTGCAGCACATGTTAGGAGAAATGAGCACGCAGGCTTTTTGTTGAAGCTCCGTAACACAAAGGAACAGAAGTTACCAGAAACTTCAAGAACGACTTTGTTCAGGTGCTGTTTTCAGACTTTTAAAAGTTACTCTTTTTCTTTGGCTCAGGGCTCCTGTTCTGGAACAAAAACCTCCCCACGCACTGGCAACTTAGCTGCTCTGACTGGAGGACGGCGTTATCACCGAGCACCTGGAGTCGTGAGCCATTTCTGCTACCAAACAACTCTCCAGCCAAAATAGCAGTTGAGCTATTGAGTTATTCCAATATGCAGCATGCTGATGTCTGGATCTCGCTTGTATTTGGCTTTTTATAATAAATAAATAAAAATGTGTGTATAAGGGAAAAGTTCTTTTGAGTCCAAAACCCCAGAAATGAGTCAGCATTTTTTTTTTATGGGTTTTTCGTTAGATGGCTGAAATAAAGTCTGTGTTCAACACAAGCTCACGAAATATTTACTTTTGCTCTACGATATAAAACACGCCAGTAAATACCCCACTTTTAAAGCTTTTACACGTCTTTAATGAGACTACAAAACCTCATCACGCCAACGTAGACCAACGCTAGCTTTTCACATCTGCCGATTGCATTCAAGCTTCACAAATCATGACAGTGGTGTTCATCTGTGAAGATTATCTTGCTGTATCATGAATGTTTGTTTGCCACAGAGTTTATTTTCTACAATAATCCAAAATCCAATGGAAATGTCCTGTTGGCATTTTGTCGAGGGAACCATTGCGATGCTAACTTCCGAGTTGGCCCGCAAACATACGTCATCCCTGCAGCACTCTACAGATGTTACCACAGCTCCTACTGGTGACAGTAGCGGTCAAAGTTTAAATTAAATTCATGCTATCAGCATAACTCTCGTAACCCAGAAGACATACTGCTTCAATTATTAATCATTTCAGATACAACATATATTTCATTTACCGTTCCAGCTCTAATTAGTTGCTTGACATGACTTTTCTGTCCGTCGTGTGCTTTCTTTAAAAGTCAGAACAAGACGACTTCCTCCTGAATCACAGACCTTCAGGGTTCACGTCTTCCTTTTGGTGCGGCCATCTGCGACTGCTGTACTTTCCCCAACATCTGCAATTGTGTTTGAATGATACATCAGTCACATTTAGCTGGAAGCGCCCTTCAAAGATGGCAATCTTAAACCCCCAGAAATGTAGTTTGATTGCGCTCCATTACAGCATATTCACAGGAGGACATGTAGCTGAGGAGAAATGCTTTCGATCATGTATTTTAATGGAAAGACTGCAACTTGTAGTGTTCCGGTGAGGAGGGGCGGTGTTTTACTGTGGTTGCACTTTTTGTCACCAAGCACACGGTGATCTTTTTTTATATAGACCAACTTTTGAGGAGCCACAGATGACCAAGCCACAAACAAACGTTATTCTCACATTTCTTTACAGATTAAACAAACGTTTACTCAGCCTATGAGGTCCAGACATCACGTAAACTTTCATTTGGATAAGATAACATCTCCATATTGATTAAACTCTATTTCATTTTGGTTGAAACTTGTATTTACTAAACTGAGATTAGTTGACATTGTGCAACGGAGCTCTACTTTGTTTCAAATCTGGATTTCCTCATTTCAGACCTAGTTTTGCTAAACTCTGATTAGAATTTATTTCAGATTAAATTAATCCTTGTTGGTGCCACCAAACCTTGGAATCACAATCCAAGTTATGGCATCTAAGAAGCCTTAAAGCCTTGAAGCCTCACCCATACCTGTAGCAGCCCACCAAAGCAGACCCTCACTTTTTTATTTTTAATGCAGAGCTTTTTTAGTCTGAACGCATGCCCATCTCCTCACTACTGTACATTCTGTCTTCTGACTATATGTCAACATGCCAACCCCCTTGACAGCCCTCGCCGTGACCCGAACATACGTGTTTCCAGATCCCTGTATGGCCTGTCCTGTCGTAGCCGCTGTGCCGCTGCAATGAAGGTGCTGATGGGGGGGTCGGCCAAGCCCCTCTACGTGCCTGTCTAAAATTAGCACCGGTAGTTTTCTGTGCCCTTTTTAATCCTGAGCTTTAAAAACCACGAAAGGCCAAGCCGCAGACAGGAAGAACGGCCCCGGGGCCCTCGGCGTGCCACGCATACCCCCCGACCCTATCCGTCAGTCACCGGTCCTGCCATGACATCACGGCCGCCCACGCTAAGAATAAAAGTTTGGCCATAGTCGGGTTCAGGTTTGATGGACGACACCCGTCCACACGAGAGACCTGTCCCTTCACCTGCGGGTTTCACAGGTTTGATCCCCTGCAGCAGCCAGTGGGTCCAAATCTGACATAGTGTCCTTGAGCAAGACATTGAATTTCACCCGGCTGGCTGAACCTCTCAAACACTATTATTTGGTCAGACGGGGTGCAATGAATGCCACTGTATACAGTAGAATTGACAAATGTATACAGGGTATATACACATTTTTGACAATAAATTTCCATGTCTTTACCATACCTTTGAGGCAAATTTGTCTGTATACACGACTAACAATACAATATATCGTTAATAAAATTATTATGAACTGAAAAAGCTGGCTTGTGTTTTTACACTACTTGTAGGCATGAACTTTTCCGCTCCGGTAGATTTCCAAAATTACGAGCCACTCAGCATTTTCACCAGCCACAAGTTTGTTGTTGGGAAATTATGTTTTATTTGATTAAAGTTGTCCAGTGTACTACAATGACATTAAAGAACTGGATTTACAACCTTTTGAATGGAAATGATCACTGTAAACACCCAAACATAAAATATATAACACTATGGTTATCTAATATTCCGCTTTGATAAGGTTGCACGTGTAAAGCTTCCCCAGTATGAACCCTGTATGTATAAATAGGGAAAACTACTGTCGGATTCCTGTATTTTGCATTTTGTTATGCAAACTCTTGCAAAACTCTCCATAAATCCATAAAAAGAAGTTGTGTGTATTTTGCGGTTACAGCTCGTTTGTAGGTGTCATATTATGATGAAATGATTATCCAGGAATCGGAAAATATTTCAACTGGACAGTGGTCAAAAAGGGGGAGCGCTGACGCATTCTAAAAACATAGGAGTCTTTTTCTGATCATTCACGTCAGGACATGAGCGTGCAAGTTTGGGCCTTTGTTGCATCGCCAATGATTGACTGGCTTTGTTCAGCGCCATGCCAGATTGCATTTCCAGTTTAAACCTAAAAAAGTCACATCAGAGACTCCTTTTTACAATTTAACGCCGTCCAATAATTGCTTATCTATCACATTTCATTGCTAATTAATGTAATTTTTTTTAATCTTGCTTTGAGTTTTAAAAGAAGTACAAGACTTCCTTCCTATTTTGTGGTATTTTCTCTCCAAATAGATATGATCTCTTTATACTTTCTGTATTCTGCATATTTAGGAAAATAAATATGGATGCTGAAGAGATGAAAAAGTACTGTTTTTGACATCGGCTATTTTATAATATAATAGAAGGCTCCGTTGGTCATTATGTTTTTTCACGACTCCGAACCTCTTGAACTGCATTGCTACATATTCCTCACCATTTATGCTCGGTGTACTTTGCACTTCCTCACGCATTTAACTGAACCTCCGTTTGAGGACTTTTCGCCATTGATGAACACATTCGGTCTTCTCAGACAAAAAGAGCTGCACGCGAGTGACGTCATTGACATTCTCGTTATAATCAGTTGACATCGGTTTCTCTATCAACTTTGATGCGAGGAGATCAATTCTTTGCTTTTCCCTAACCCCACACTCCAGGGAATTAACACACGCGCACACACACACACACACACACACACACACACACACTCTCTGCTGCTGGTGTTAATCAGCATGTGTGGGAATGTTGGTGCAGGTCTCTGCTGAGCTGCGAAGCTGCTTGCGTGAGAACACAACGCTCCTCCTCCCTCTCCTGCGCCGTGAGGATCCTTTTCTCCTGGGCCTCCAGGTCTTTGCAGGTACACGCCACCGCACTTGCTATGAAATGACACCACATCCCGGTGCTTTTCAGCTCCCTTTGATGGCTGCAGGCAGAGGCCCTGCCCTCAGGAGTGTTTGTGTGAACCCGACGGCCTCGCAGCAAAAGCAGCACCTGGAAAAACCAGTCGGGCTGTTGTTGTTTTTACGGTGTGACTGGAATCACTTTGTTCGTGAATGATTGTCACAGAGAACAGAGTGTGCGCGGCACTTTGTTACACAAGCGTCGAGTGCTGCTGTAGTTAATGAGCAGCGAGAGCGCCGCGAAAAACAGCCCCATGATTCACGGCGACTGTGTTTGCGGTCGTGACTCCGGCCGGCTGGTTTCAACACTCGACTGTGCCGCGTTACATAAATGTGTCACCGAGGAAACAGACAAACAACAAGTGTATCAATGGAAAAACAGTCATGGAAAGGTTGAAGTGTAGACAAAATAGCAATTTATTAATAATTTATCTTTTCTTTACATTCGTAAGAGAGGAGGGGGGGTGGCAAGGATGGCTTCCTCTGGAGAAATGGCCTTCTCTGTAGAGGGGCATTCCTTTTTCTCTCTTCTTGACAAGTAAAAACTGCATTTCCCTGAAGAGGCGAGGGTGAGCAAAGCCTCCTAGCTCTGTCTACATGTCCGAGACTTTTACCGGTTGTGCACAGATCAGGATGACTCACATCAGCCTTCAGAGATCCAGACAACATGTGGATGCTATGTGGTGCCAAATTTTAGAAAAAATTGAATAAAAAAAAAAGATATTAAAACTGCTCACGGTTTGGTTGACTTTTTTTTGTGTGAAAATAATACAAATTTAAAACAATATCTGGGGAATCTCTCTGAAGGCTGATGCAAAAATAAAAAAACACCCATCTGAGCGCAAAAGCAAGGCAACCCACCACGGTGACTTTGATTCGTGAGAGGGTGGGTGCAAAGACAAGGCCCGTCGGCTGAATTCACACGTAAAGCGATCATCAAATATATTACACGTGTACACATTTTTTGCACAATTCTTGGAAAATCCTACTTGATTTTTTTCCTTTTTTGGCATAATCAACTTAAAACATACGGATCAATATGCAGTTTGTTTGCTTACATAAAAGTAGAATATGAAACAAAGAGTACCCACTTGTTGCAAAGGGTATATACTGGAGCAAGGCTTTTTACTATGTATTGTTTTTTATATTATATAAGATATATATACACAACGTATAAATGTTTGAAAAGACTCCACAAATGCAAAATCGAGTCCAGTATATAGTGTGCCGTCTAAAGCCGGGGTGCTTCTACCCCACACAGGCAAGTCTTCACGGAAGACGAAGGAGACAACGCACCCTGGTGTCTTGGGAACCAGTGCTGGACCCCAAAACTAACATTTAAAAAAAGAGTTTCATTGTTAGATCTGTCCAGTTTGAACAATCAGTCTCTTTGGCACACCAGCCCAGGAGCTTTGAAGCATAAGCTGTCCAACAAATCACTTTAAGTTTCCTCAAGATACAATGACAAAAAGAGATATAAGACCTCAGGAGTCCTGACAGTGCTATAGGATTGAAGAGGGTATCTGCACTCTTCCTCGTTTTCTTTGTCTCTTTTACTGTCGCTCCTCATCTAGTCAGCAAGCGGCTGCATCTCGGCCAGACAGCTTCGGCCCTCCAGTCACCACGCTCGGCAGCGGTCGCCCCGCATCAATAAGGTCAGGCGCTCGGTCCCCCGGCAGACGGAGGAAACAAGAGAAAACTTTTTGCAGCTTTTCCAAAAAGGGGAGGCCCACGAAACCTCCGGCGAGGAGCGGTGGTCGCGATGGGCCGACCTCACGTGGACTCCAGGGGGTCCAGCTGGAAGACGTTGTGGTTGGTCGGTGTGGTGAAGTAGAGCTGCTGGCTTGGCGCCGCGATGCGGTTGTCGCACGGGCTCTTGAGGCCCAGCGTGCGCTCAAAGTCCAAGAGCTGGCCCATGAAGTTGAAGTTGGGCGAGATGTTGGACTTCTTCATCTTGACGATGTCGTAGGCGTCGTTCATGGACAGGTTGTTCTTCTGCATCAGGTAGGCCACCGTCACCGTCACGGATCGGCTGATGCCCGCCAGGCAGTGGACCAGGACGCCGCACTTCTGGCCTCGAGCTTCATCTGGTAGGAAGAGAAGAAGAAAAAAGGGTGGAAATGTTATAGACCTCTTCCAGAACAGCACAGCAGATTTAGAGCAACACGCGGTTAAAAACAGGTTTTACTCAATAAAATGTCAGAAAAGTTCCCGCGGCATCTTCAGTTTGTTTGCTTTGTTTTAAAAAAAGGAGCAGTGTGTAGGATTCGGTGCCATCTAGCAGTGAGGATGCAGATTGCAACCAACTGAAAACAGCTCAACGCACTAGTCCTCCTACAAGTGATGAAAAGTGCTGCCCCTTTTCCACACAGACAGAACAAAGCTTGTGATAAACATCTGTGACATTTAAGTCAAGCTGTGCTGGAAGCTGGAGCGGCTCCAGGGAGGGAGAGCAGCGGAAGTTATTATCCTGGCTATCTCCGAGGCGTGTCAGTCAACAAACAAGGGGGGGCACACAAAACACAGAGGACATTCTTTTGTTTTTATTTTTTGGGGGAAATTGACTATTACGGTCTATTAAGCCATTCTTCTGCTCGCCGGGGCCACTCTGACAATGGTGCCATTTGGGCGTGTAAACGTAGGAGTCATGAGGGCACCCTGTCAGGGCGAACAGGATGTCAACAGGGCCTGTAAATGGCTCCTTTTGTAATGTGGAGGGGGGGAGGAGGGAGGGCAATGCCATGTCCTAGATTACTTTCAATGCCACTTCCTTCCTGTTGCGCTCAAATTACCGCCCTCCCCTCGTTCACTCTCCCCCCTCCCTCCCGTTCTCCTCTTTCAACACTGCCCTTTGTGCCTGCAATTACACAAGCGCCCCGGGGACAAGAGACGGGCCCAGGACGTCTCCCATTTAAGTCAAACCATTTGTGCACCGGTGCATTTCGGGCCTGCGCGCCATTAGAGGCCGACTCGCACTCCTCCACACAATGGCCTCGATCTGCCCGCTCTGTGTGTCCCTGCACCCGGCTGACTGATAAGATCACAGCTGGGGACACCTCATCTAATCTCTGCTGCACAATGGGGACCTGGAGAACTTCCTGCCGGTTATAAGACCAGGTCCCATTAATGAGATTATGACTATCTGCGGCCCATTTCACTTTGTCTGCACTCATTCAAAACAATCACACGTTGTCCTCCCGGGTGAGGGATTAAGCGATGGAATGATTAGTTGAATAAATCGCTTCCTGCTTCTCAAATGTGAGGATTTTGCATCCTGGTTGTGTCACTGTAATCACATGACTTTTTAACTGCTGGTCAGACAAAACAAGCAAAGTGACTTTGCCACAAAGTTGCATGTTAGAACTTAAAAACATGCTTTTTTCAGTTCAATCAGTAATGGAGATAGTCAAGCATGTGGTCTAAACAGCCCAGAGACCTGGGGGGGGGGGTAACAGTTTGCAGCAAGAGCAGCTGCAGCGCGTGTTCCAGCTCTGCGGGATTACTCACCAATGAAGCTGATGGCCTCGGGGAAGAACTGCGAGAGATTCTGGCTCCAGTGGTCCGAGATGGGGATCTGCTTGTACTTGAACTCCCCGGCGTTCTCGAAGAGGTTGGGCAGGTTGGGGGTCACGTTGAGGATGTACTTGATGCCGTACTCCTCCAGCACGTCCAGGTTGGTGGAGTCCTTGGCGCAGCCCAGGTAGAGGTACGGCAGGATCTCCACCGGGAAGGAGGGCAGCGGGTTGGACAGCGGGCTGCCGTCCGAGTCCGTGGCGCTGCTAGGCTCGCGGTCGATGTCCGACTCGATGTCGGAGGAGGAGTCGGAGCTGATCCGCAGCCCCCCGAGGCCCAGCACCTGCGCGGTGGGGGAGCTGGTGTTGGAGGTGCCGTCCAGGTTGGTTTCACACAGACCCGGATACTCGCCCTGGAATTTGCTGAAGCCACCTAGAAAAAAGATGCAAAACAGAAACTCCGATTAATACAAGGCCGCTGCGGGAGCGCGTGTTCTGCAAAAATAATATGCATTCAATTTATAATTCAAAAGCATTTAGCTGCATGATGTTTTTTTCTTTTCTGAATGTCTGCAAACAGTTTACATCATTATGTTTAAATACACATTCAGGATATGTTTGACTCACTATTTTTAAGATGTAAACAAGGTGCAACTCAAATGACAACAAATTAAGATTCCACATTGAAGCGCGCGCCTCCGTCTCATGCGCAGTAATCTGCGGCTGTGAATGAACAGCGGCAGCCCCCTTATAAAACAGAAAATGTGAATAAACCGCACTCACCCTCCAGATAATAGGCCTTGTAGCCCTCGTCCTTCATCCTCCTCAGCAGCAGACCCAGCACCGAGCCCCCGTCCACGTTCTCGTTCCACTCCCGGCTGTACTCGTCGTACAGCACGATGGTGTCCGTCTTGCACCGGCGCACGAACTTCTCCCGGTCCTCGCCGTCGGAGAGCAGCGAGCGCACGGGCAGGTTGCCCTTCTTGAGCCGGCGGAGCATGAGGCTCGGTATGGCCACGTTGATGGCCGTGTCGACGTGCGACGACTCGTACAGCTCCTGGGCCCGGCAGTCCATCACCAGCAGGCCGTCCCTGCGCGTCTCCAGCAGCTCCCGGAGCCAGCCCACCGTCTTGCTGATCGCCATTACGGAGTCGAGCTGGATGACGGGTCGGAGCTTGTCGAGCATTTATAAGCAGGAGTTGGTAGGGACAAATATGATTTGAAGAAGCGAGGGTTACTGGCTGCAGCGGGAAGGCAAAAACAAAAAAATCTGATTTCTTTCTTGCTTGGATGAGCCCGCAGGAAAAATATCAAAGTGCAGAATAAAATCTCAGTCCAGATCCTTCTATGCGCTCCGTGCGCTTTTGGGTAGGACGCGGATCAACAACAACGCGGGGTTTCCTTCACAGATTCCTGCCTCCGCTGGCAATCATTCATGCGTCTGTCCGGAGAGAGCCCGTGTTATTTATCAATGAGTCGCACCGGCCCTCGCGACGAGGCGTCCTCTGCTCTTATATAACTCCACGGCTCGGCGCGCGACTGCTCCTCTTTCCTGTTTTGGGAAAAATCCGCAGTAGAACGTCGGGGTGAGCTGGTGCCTCTGGATGTGAACCGTGCGGGTTAAGCTCGGCTTTATTAGTGCGTGCAGGACAAGTTTCTCCTCCCCGCTCTGTCCGCGATGTGAATCAACGCTCTGCGGTCTCTCTCTGTGTATGCGCTCGCTCTCTCTCTCTCTCTCTCTCTCTCTTTCTTTCTCTGCGGCGCGGGGACTTGCTGAATGGCTGCAAACTGGGGAGGCGTTACCATTGGATACATTATGTCGGCCCCGACCAATCACAGGAGCTCCCAGCGGCGGTCGTCTTGGAAACGGGGGCCGGATGGAGCGGCCCCCGTGTTGATGAATTGTTAATGAGTTTGTCATTCACAAAAACGGAGAGGAATTTCCGCTCCGGATCAAGTGAGTGCAAACAAACAGAAGAGCTGCGGGGAGAAGGAAGGAAGAGAGGAGGGAGGAGGGAGGGGAACCTTTACTCAGATTGAGAGAGAGGGGAGGTATCACATAAGAGTGCTATGGACTATGTGATAATATACTTTACATTATTTAGTTTGGTTGAACTAAATAATGCAACTTTTGGAAACATTTCAGTTGACAGTGTGACACATTTAAACTGCTGTTACAATGTTATTACAACAGCAGATAGTAGAATAAATACAAGTATATATGCATATATTCAAATTTTTTTATTTATTATTTTTGTGTTAAAGAGTTTACTGCTCGTTCTTATTTTATCCAACAGTATCTAAAGCTTCTTTAAGAACTCTGAAAAACCACAACAACTTTATAAATCTGCTGTATTATTGTATAATAATATGAAATATAGTTATTGTATGTGTGACTGATTTCCTGCTGAAAAACAAGGCATGAAAGAAACCAACATTTTTTAAAAGACATTTAAAAGCTTCAGAGGTCAGCCAAAGAACAACAGGTGCCTTTTTTACACAATAATTAATTATCATTTTTAAAACCCTTTCCACTGCAAAACCAAAACCCAATAACTTCATAAGCCAGTCTCAAGTGTCAAGACGCTAATCAAGTTTGATTTAATATCCCTCTGTACAGAGCAGACCTTCCTGTGCAGCTTTTCAGTGGGCAGCATGTGAAATAAACACAGTGGAATAATAATACTGCTCTGTGACATTGTGAGCACACAACAGCGCTGGAGCTATTTCTGTCTGCGCAGCCTTCAATGGACTGAAGGAGCTCGGCTGTGTGGGTGGTGGTGTATCAACAACTGTCTCTTTCTCACGCTAACTAGACTCAGTAGACTAACCAGAACCACTTAGATCCCTGGCTGTAATAAAGCCATTGTGGAATATACATTTCTCCATGTGGAATTACTGTTGCAATGACATTACTATAAACTTTTCGTATTTCTATATATTTTTTTTTCGGTTAGGACTTGAAGCAACAGTCAGTGTCAGTGGTGTTCACATCAATCAAATGACATCTCCACATCCTTCACGCCTGGTCCATCTAGAGCCATCGGGGCCGCTGATTGCTTCCCATCAGCCCGTTGACAGCCGTCACTCCAAACTAAATGCATCTTTGCACAGTAAACAAAAGAAGCATTTCTACCGTTTGTGTTTTTAAAAGTATTGGCGTCTCGCAGCCAACTGTGAACCCATAAAAAAATGTTTTGTTTTTTTAATTGATGACCTATCACCTGTCCAGACTCAAGAGGTCTGCTTGCGACTCTGAGTCGCCTCAACCACAAGAAGTCCTTGAGCGTGCAGACATAACTGACCACCCAAAGTAGTATGAAGTTTGGTGCAGCAGAATGCGTGATTGGCCGTGGACAGACACACAGGTGCACTCTCACTCATGCGACGCAGCTCATTATCTCCTGGCGGGAGGGGGAAAAAGAAAGAAAGAAGGTTGTAAAGAGGTTGTAGGTTTGCAGCTGCATTTGCAAAAGTGGATTAACGAATACGGTACCAACACATTCCTAAGACTAGAAGACACTACAAAGGGAATACGTTTGCTACCTCTTAGGTACGAACATATGAAGTTTGCATTACAATGTGAAACGTGACGGCAAAGTTAATTCTTCCTGGAAACAATAACCCATAGACCGGCATGACTGCGTGTGGATTTCTGTCAAAAAGCCTCTTTTGTGATAGTTTCTGTCCAAATATGGACGCGTTGGTTTTGACAGCGGACTTATCTCTCCGCTGCATCCCGTCTGGCCCACACCTCTGACACCAGACAGCTCTGTAACGGGATAGCATCGGTGTGCAGGAGGAGTTTATCAATCAACTGACAACGTCCTCTGAAACGCACGGTGCAGGCTCATCATGGAGCAGTATGTAGCACCGGGGATGATCTGGAACAACGTGGTGTTCAGGGACAGAACCGCGGTTGGCGGTTTATTTACACTCCACACCAGTCGGATGTGTTGGATGACAGGCCGAGCTGATGTAACCAAAAATACAACAGACAGACAGCAGCCTGTCTCTTCACCTATAGCCTGCGTGTGTGTGTGTGTGTGCGTGCGTGCGTGCGTGCGTTGCATCCCTGCCAGTGTCTCTGTGGCGTGTTAGCATATGAAGTGTGTTGCGGGCCCCGGCGTTAACACTGGCCCTTCGGCCGCTGCAGCACCCTCCCCTCTCTCCCCCCTCTCCCCCTTTCCACCTCCTCCCAGCGTGACAGGAGTCCCTCTGAATGGAGGCAAGCTGTTTCTATTCACCTTCAAATGAATTCTGCTCTCTTTCACCAGCAAACTCCCTCCCTCACTCCCTCCTCCCTGCTGCTCGCACTATTATTCTGCCTCTGCCCCCTCTCTCCCCCTTTTTTTTTTGCCCGTGGCCCCTTCTTCCCCTTCCTCTCTCACCCGTTGTTTCAGTTTCGCCCCCTCTCTTTGTCCCTGTCATCTGCCATCACCCTCTGTACACATACCACACTAACTGTCAGAAAAGCCTTTATTTTTGACTGAAAGCATTAAAATGCTGCATGTCACTATATTGTTGTCTGATCAGCCTGATCAAGATGTCATGATGTGTCCACGTCAATCTGAAAACACTGTTTCAACATGTAGGAACGACTCGCTTCCTCTCATTCAGCCTCAGCGTTTTTCCAGAAAGCTCTCGTCCAAACTGAAATCCAATGGAGCATCACAGACAACATCTTGGTATGATTTCTTTAACTCTCTTTGTTCCTCTCCATTCATTTCCTACAGACATACTGGATTTCGTGTCCAATTTGTTGTTGTTGCTGGTCTTTGTTTCTTTTCTGTATTCTTGTGTTTTTCTCCCTTGAACCTGACCCCTGAACATGTGACAGGTGTGTGAGGACATGAGGACAGCACAGAGTGTCCGTCCTCCTCTGTCTCTTAAGAGTTCCGTCCGTCTCTCCCTTCTTTCCAGACATTTACATTTTCCCTCGGCTCACATTTCCATACTGACTGACTCACTGATTGAAGATGAGTGAGTGGAATGAGCCTCAATTACCAGGTGAATGAAGAAACAAAAGCAGGGAGCTTAGAGGTCAGTGACACCCCTCCATTATCTCTGATTAATACCTGCTGGGTAATAGACTCCAGTCTGTAAGTGTGGCTTCATTGGGCCACAAAACAATTAACTTTCAGTTTAAACTACACAGGTAGTTAGTCAAACAGTCCGAACAGAAAGGCTTTTTCTCCAAAGTGTCAAACTCGAATCTTAGTATCAGAGTGGTTTCATACCATTAACTTCCATCTTTTCCAAACTGCCCTCATACCCTTTCCACCCCACCCTCCCTTACGCAGACAATCTTTGTCCTCCTCGTTTCTTTGCCACCGGCTGCTCGTCTCAGACGGGGAAATCCTTTGTCCTCAAACAAAGACTCACCACACGCTCTCATCGGGTCTGGAGCTAGACCTGTCTGCGTGTTTGTGACACATACTCAGGAAGTGAGCATGTGAGAACGACAGAAAGACACCGCTGTGTTGCAAAAAGTCGGAATGTTAGCGAACGATGCACAGGACGTCGGTTTGTGCTAGAAAGAGGAACTGGGTGTGAGAAGTGACAGATACCACGACTAGACAAACAAAGAGAAACACTTGGGAACAACCAAGTATCTCAACAATAAGTTATTTTATTCCCCATTCACACCTCAACGTGTGATCTCTATTAGCTGTCAATGCAGGTGGAGGTGAACGCAAAAAAACACATGTGAAGGTGATCTGGCATGCGATGTGATTGGATCTCAGCCCGGTGTGATTGGCATCTGTACATTTCGACCATGTTCTTAAGAAAACATCAGGCCAACAAGTGAAAGGTCAGTTAACTCTGCCTCTCTCTGCAGACGAGCCCTACCTCTGCAAACAATGAAGGTATGTGTGCGTCTGATTACCAGGACATGCTATTATCCAGATAGCACATCCAGATTAGACCCGACCAATACATTGGCACGCCAAATATCATCAACCGACTTTGACAAATATATGTTTGAGACAGTTTAGGCAGTGTTTCCACTACATAGTTTGTCTAAATACATAGGTTGCAAACTTAATAACCAAATTTCTGGGATCTTTATAATACATATTTGCTTAAACTATGTGTTTATATAAAAAAAGGAAAAACTTTGCTGTTGTTGTCTCAAAAATCAGCATGCAGTCTCAGTCAGGCTCTAATCCAGATACAGATCGTGAGCTATTATTGGGTGTAAATGGGCTCTAAGTGCACCACAATCAACATCATGTTGAGGTGAGAGGAAGTTGCATCTAGAGACACATTCCCACTTGTATTTATTTCCAGGACAACTTACTCTGCAGTAGTCTCAGGTATTTATCGGCTCCAGCTCCGATCAGCAGTAATGTAAACATGACACGCGGGTGGACACACACATTATTACCCCTTTTAAAATCAACAGGGATTTAGACAATTATTATAATTTATTAACGTACAAAACATACAATTAATACGCTCTCCTCAAAGCCACCAGACTCCAAAGAAAGAAACAGTCATTCTACCTCGCTGATCAACACACTTCATTCCAACTCCACAGAAACAAAATAAAAATCATCAAAACAAACTCATTTAGACTTTCAAAGTTCTACCAATCACCAACTCTGGTTTGAGAGTTTGGAAGAGAGACTGAAAAAAAGGCATAGCTCTTATTGTGCAATAAGCAGAGGTTTGTTTTGGTAGTTACAAAGTGTGTCAGGGTGAAAAGT